ATATTTTCCAACCCAAGGTATATAAACTACAGTTTCATGAGTAAGAACCAGCAGCTGAAATGGAAGTATTGGTCTGCTGTGTTTGTACTGTGTGGTACACTCAGTGATATAGCTTTGGAGAGAGTTTATTGTCTTCCATAACTCTCTTCACATGAACAATATAGAATCATAGAATCACAGAATGGCTTGGGTTGGAAGGAATTTTAAAGATCATCTAGTTCCAAATCCCCTCTGATGGGCAGAAACACCCTTCATTAGACAAGGTTGCTCAGAGCTCCATCCATTCTGGCCTTGAACACTTCCTGGAATGCAACATCCGCAACTTCTCTGGGCAACCTGTTCCAGCGCTCACCCCCCTCCCAATCAAGATTTTCTTCTTAATATTTAATTTAAACCTACTGTCTTTCAATTAGAAGCCATTCTGCCTTCTCCTGTCTCTACATTCTCTTGTAACAACTTCTTCCTTGTCTTTTTGTAGACCCCCTTCAGGTACTAGAAGGCCACAGTTAGATCACTCTGACACCTTCTCTTTTTCAGGCTGAACAAACCAAATTTTTTTCAACTTTAACTTGTAGGAGAGGTGCTTTATCCCTCTAGTCGTCTTGGTGGCCCTCCTCTGGCCTTGCTCCAAGAGGTCGATATCACTGCTGCATCTGTATTTTCTTACATGAAACCAAAGATTCTGAATCTGTCACATCCATTCAGATAAGTGATAGTGCACCATGTTCTTCTGAAAGACAGTACCATCAAGTGGAATCATTGAGCTAAAAAGAAAATGGAGTTCTCATTGCAAGGGGTCAGCTGTCAGAGGTAGGTTCGTAGGAATTCTGACAACTGAACAGATTGTTGCATGCTTATCATATTGATTGATTTTCATACACAAAGGAGAAGACGAGTGTTCTGCCTGGCAAGGTACAGTTTTGGATGCAGAGAACATATTTCTGTGTCATCAAAGTTATGACTGTATTTGCCGTATATATAGTCAAAGGCAAAAAGCGATTGAACAGCTGAGGTGAACTGAGAAAGTGCTGTCAAATGACCTCTATATGTAGACTATAAGTCTTGCACTCTTGCACTATAAGTGCAAGAGAAGAGGTTATCATTTAAGTACATCAGCTATAGATAGGTCTTTGCTCCATTGACAGACTGCTTGTTATAGAAGGGAATGCTAGAATGTGTGAGTTAGAAATCTCCTTCTGAATCTTTGCACTTTTGAAGTAGTTTGCTTTTAATACTGAAGTATCTGAAAAACATACCCATCAATAAATTCTTAACTTAGAAGCTGTGTTGCTCTTGAGCTTTAACCATCTCTGAAATTGCAGTTATTTGTTTCCCATTTGAAGGTCTTCTTTCCAGTTACATATAAAGTTGCCAAAGAATAATCATTAGAACTAAAATTTTCTATTTAACTTGCTATAAAGGTCTTTGAAGAAAATTCCATCCAGGCATTTCTTAAACTCAGTCTAAATTAAAACCAGCCAAAACAAAATAATGTTTGATAGTGATAATTTTTAACTTTTTCATTGAGATTTTCTGTGTTTGTACTCTGGAGCAACAGCTAGAAATAAGTGG